GTTCTTGCATGAGGCCCAATGTCCCCTTATTTTTAGACAGATGCTTCAGTTTGGATCTTTGCATCTTAAAACAACTGCAGTCTTTTAAAATTTCGAAGTGGTTCATTTTTTTCTTATTTTACTTCCAAAATTCTGTAAAATAAAGGCCTAGAATTAGTTGAAGTTACTGTCCGCCACCTTTAAATCAGAGTTTTAGTCTCTCATCCACTGTTGATAAACGGCAACATTTGACCCATTTTTGGCACCAACGTGGAGAAAAACATGTGGGATCTCATGAAAAACCTCGAGATCTTGCACGTTAGAGCTTGGTTTAAGTGTTGTGAATGACTCTGGGCTACTACCACATCAAATGTTTAACTCAAAATCTGTAACATTTAATGAGGCATAGCTACGTTGGAGTCATCCTGGAGAGCATTAACTCCAGAAGTTTATCACTTGTGGAGGAATAACCACAAATTATTTATTAAATTGAAATTCATCCAGTTATTTCTGAGATATTTTGCTAACAAACCAATAGGGTTAGCTCCAGCAGCTAATGCCCAGGTTTTTCACCAAGGCTAGCTCTGTTGGTCATCCTAATTTGGTCAGTCTCCTTTGGTTATCAGCTGTAGAGATCTATAAAATTATTACTTTCTGAACATAAAATAAACTCTGACAAATAGGTCTCCAGATATTTTGCTAACAGACACACACACATACACACAAACAGTCCATGTGTCCTAAACAACAGTGGTCATCTTTCTGCAGCGGGCAGTGGATACTCACATGTCCAAAAGGGTCCAGATGATTGTTTGTGAGCTTCAGCTTCTGAAACGACACCAGCTGTCTCATCCAGTGAGCGCCGGTGGCAGGAGAGTCAGGATGTACATAAAGTCTGCCTGGCATCGCCGGCTCCGCTTTGCCAGCCACCAACCTTAAAACACATCCAGGGAGATCTCAACATATACGACCAAGTGTTTTTAACAAGTAAAACTTTTCAGAAACTGCTGATCTGCTGAAGTATTTAAACACAAACATCCTTAAGGTTTAAAGATACTGGACAAAAGAAGGAGCTCATGCAGTGGGATGTATTTCTGCAGTTAGAATTACACTCYTGTGTTTCCACTGTTATGTGTTCCAAAAATTATTATCCTATGAGTTATATTAGAATAAATGTTGAGTTTTTGGATGTTTACTAATTCTGACTGAAAAGGGTATCCGTACCTTCAAACAAAAGAAGCTGTACAGAAAAAAAAAGGATTTTTGGGTGTAGAAACATTTATTTAATTATTCTTTTAAATTTTACAAAAAAAAATCAAAATCTCTAAACTACTAGAATTTACTAAATAAACAATACACATTGTATTACGTATCAGTATTACTC